CAAACAGTGGAGAGGAAAAACTCCCTGCTAATCAGGAAGAAACCTCCAGCAGAACCAGGCTCAGGACAGGCGGCCATCTGCCTCGACCAGGCTCACAGAAAATACTAATTTCTTTAACTGCCAACAAGCAAGCAAGCAAGCAAACACACACACACACACACACACACACACACACACACACACACACACACACACACACACACGTGTGTGTGTGTGTATAAGGATGTATACACATATGACTGAACATCATGAGAGTTTGTTTTGTGAAGTTGGTAAATATGCTTGCTGCTTCCAATAGTTCCACAGCAACAAAAAATGCAACTGTTTGGGGATACTGATGGCTTGTGACAACCGAATAGCTCATTTGACGTCACAACCATTTGAAAATGTGTGATTTTTATTTTGTTTCATTTTTTTTTACCTCTGTGGTTACACTGGAGTTAAAGCTCATGTTTAATTGTTCCCAAGAGTTCTTAGAGTGGTGCTGATGAAGGCGCTCTGGGAGTAACATTTAAAACTGCAACAAAAATAACCAGAGTCTCACTGGTTGCAGGTCTGATAAAGTGACAAGAGGATCCAGAGAGCAAAGAGAAACAAAGATTGGTGAAAAAAACAGAAAGAGAGTAAGAAAGGAAAAAAAGAGGGAGGAGAATATAGGAAACTGACACCTGTGATGGACTTTCAATTGAAATAAGTTCCTTGTGACCTCATTGTCCACTCAGCTTTTCACAGTCCTCTCGCTTGCACTCGGAATATCAATTTGAATGATGTTCCATTTAAGCTGTCTTAAATGAAGTGAATACAGTGTACCACTTGCTAATCAATAACTAAATTATTTTTATGACAGGGTTTTGTCAGCAGTTCCAGCAGACAGAAAGCAGTGCTGTTAATTTGTCATCCCTCTCTTCCTCTCTCTTACACTTCATCCAGGGCCACGACTTCCTGGTACGTTGAGGGCGACCTGTGGGAGTGTGTGTGTCGGATCAATAGCCCACACGCAGCAGAGCCGCGGGCGATCCCTGACCTGGGCTATTGATTAGGCCTTGCTCAGATGCCAATAGCAATGTGCTGGATGTGACACCAGGCTAAAATTGGAGCTGAGGAAGGGGGATTCTGAATTGCCGGTGGCAGCCCCACAGCACAGCACAGATAAAAGTCAATGCCACTTAACCAAATCACTGACAACTAAATAGTTAACAGATACAAGAATGCACCAAGTCTGTGAAGGCAGCAGCTCAAATGCTTTGGGGATTTTATATCCGCCCATGACCTGTGTCAAAAAGAGCAAAAGTTCAAAGGAATAACAGTCAGATGTGTTCACTTCTCTTTTAATGTGGTCAATATTCAAATCCCTTGTTACACCTGCCTCATCAATACATTAGGGACGCTTGCAGACAAGAACTCCCTATAGACCAAACATTCATCAGGTGTTTATCAATTCATCAAGAAAAAAAAAAAACTGAAGCAATTTTAATGACATTTTAAATGGGCTCAAAATAATGGGGTGAAATTTAGGATTCAAAAAGCAATGTTTATTCTGAAAAACATCCACGTTCATAATTTCATGTTTTGACAAACCTCAAGATTTAAACTACAGTGTCAATGCCTACACACAAATATAAAGCAGTTCCACTGCAAATGTCAACTCTTTCGATCCATTTTACTCCCAGTCATTACGAGCCAGTATTAAAGTAGTTTACATGTCACTTTCCCTGTACTTTGCTTCATGAATGTGATTCTGCGGCCACTACCTTGGTCTGCGTTCAGCACATATCTATGACTCTATATCTCCCACTACTAATTGCTGAGTGACAGAAAGGCAATACGGACCACTTCATTATAAGAGAGCTAGACTAACTGGACAGTGGCCTTTTAGCTTGAGGTCACCCTGACCAGACTGACCTTATCTGCCCAGGTCGTCAGGGGTCAGTCACCCGGAATCTGCGAGGACTTCACCACAGTTGCCATGAGTGCTGGACAACAAGGTCGCCTGACCCAGGTGAACTGTTCCTATCAAGTATTGATTGCTGTTTGTCTGCCTCAGCTGAGGCTGCAAGGAYTGATCTCTCATCACCAGGGACTCAGGGGCAGAGACTTCAGTGTAAAGTTACGGATCGGGAGTAACTGGAGGGATGGTGCAGCAGGGTCCATGACGTAGAGGTTTGGGAATAAAACAAAAAAAAAATGAAGCTGGTCAAGAACAATGACAAATAGTGGCAAAGTTGATAGAGCTGTTGCCTCTCAGCAAAGATGGTTGTCAGATCAAATCCAGGCCTGGAACCTTTCTGGGTTGAGTTTGCATGATGTTTCACTGCCTGCATGGAGGTGGCGAATCTAGGATTTTTCTGAGTAAGAGGCCATTATGGGGCCTCAATATTCATAGAGGGGCCAAGTATTTATTCAGCGTCCTTGCACAGAAATCGCTGGTTTTGGTATGGTATATATATTTTACCAGTCATGCATTTAAACACTTGTAATGTAATTTTAAAACAGCTTGCACTATAAATTCTCCTTACCAATTTTACATGCATTTTACTGTACATAGATAAAATACTCTGAAGCACACAACATTTGAGATAATCCAGCCAACATTTGTGAGTTGAAATACTTTTTCTACAGGATTTTTCAAATTTAAGAAAAGAAAAATACTATATAATAGCTTGATTCATGCCGGAATTTTTCTATTTGGCTCATTAGCTCCTCTAGTGTTTAGACATGGAACTGCATCCAGCATCATCACTCTTGGACAAAGGACAGATGAGCGACAGAACAGGGGCACTTCAGGGGGCTAATCAAATTTCAGCAGGGGCCAATGCCCCTGTGGCCCCGCCCCTAGAACTGCCCCTGTTGCATGGGGTTCCTCTATTTATGTTAATTGGTGACTTTAATAGGTGAGAATGTGACTGATTTTTTTGTCTTCATGTGGCTCTGTGGTAGACCTGTCAAAGGTGTATCCAGTCTCTTGCACAGTGGCTGCTGGATATGGGCACCAGCCCCCCCAAAAGAAAGAAAAGGGTAAAGATGATGGATGGATGGATAAATAATGTGTTTTTGCAAGGTTGGAAGGTTTAATTTTTCTAAGGGATCAAGCCTTGTGCATAATGAATATAATGTTTTATGTGAGCATGGAGCAGGTAACTCTGCATTGCAACTTGTAAATATTCAAATTTAGTGCTTGTTATTCATTTTGTTTTAAAGTGCTCCAATTTTTTTCAAGATGTTTGAGTTAAATTGGGGGAAAACTAATCATTGTTTAAATCTGGAGAAAAGAAACGAACCAACTCCAAGGTTTAGCTGCATTTCTTTCAGCCAGACGTCTCTTTTGCTAAACAGAGATACAAACATATCAGATTGTTAGTCAGGAACTCTGTGTGTATTTGTGTGTGTTTGTACCATGCTGGTGTCTGTGTGAGACCCTTTATGTACATATTAAAGCATCTCAGTTGCTCGTTACCTCTCATCTCTCTGCAACCGCTTGCCACCGTACATATTAAATCACATTAATGGCAGATGAGCTCTTGCACTAGAGAGACAGGCATCTGTTTGAAACTGCATCTTATTACACTTTGTTCCGTTTAATATAGAAAAAAAATGCTATGTGAAAAGATAACCCGTTTTTAAAAATTCTCAGATAAACAGCACCGATTGCATCTTTAAATAATAAATGATGCTCTGCCTCTTACAGACGGGAATATGACTGAAAATAATTGAAGACAACAATGTCCTATAAGAGCAGCGCTCCAGCAGTGCTGATTCAGAAAGCCTCATAACTTCAAACACTCAGTCATAAAGTATAGATAATCCGTAAAAGAAAGACATGCACAGCTGTTTACAGTTTCTTTCTAATTACAGGATGGAGTCTATACTTTGTTAAAGTTGATGTGTGTTTGATGATCCTCCCCGACCCCCCCCCACCCCACCCACACAAAAACTGTACCACTGGCAAATTAGGCGTGAAATACAAAACGTAACCAACAACAATTTAATCTGAACTGCAGTCACCAAATAAATATTTCACCATCTGTCTACATTTGACACACTTTTATTTGAGAACAAAGAACTCAAACAACAAATTGCTTAAACTTGGTCACGAAAGAGAGTAACCTTTTTGACCTGCATTAATTCACCGTGTGACTGCACTCGCAATCTGTCCTCAATTTCCTTGATATTTTTAGGACACGGCTTTGCTTCAATTTTAAGTCACCAAAATAATTCTGTTGGCAGTT